GATCCATTTCTTTGAAACAAATCAAAATTCATAGTTTTTCAAATTAGCTGAGCTGCTCCACAATCTTTGCACATACACCCTGGTTACTGCAGAGGCACCCCCTGGGGTACAAGCACTTCTGGTCAGGAATCGCTGATCCACAGTATGTATAAACATTTTAGGATTCTGTTAAAATAGAAACAACAAAACCTGTGCAGGAAAAGGCTACCTGGGGCAAAATCTTTTCAAAGAAGTCCATTGTTGTCTAATCCAGATCTTTCATACCTGGGAGTTATGAGATTGCAAGATATTTCTGAGGGGTTGTGCAACATTAGTTTACTTTGGTTAACTGGTGTCAAGCCAAAGACACATTCAGCCTGTGTTGAAAGTTGGAATAGCTTCATTTTAAGTAGTTAAACTAATCTAATGCACATGAATTAGGGGTTACATAGAAAGTTGGAAACCTCTCGACGTACAGATTGGAAATAAGAAAAGATGTGTGAAACATTAGACCACTGATAAGTGACTAGACTACCAGATTATAATGCATCTTCATATCTTTGTTTTGCATCTTATGGAAGAGAGTAAAGAGCGTTAACATGCATCAGAGTCTTCTCCTCTCCTCTGCTAATCACACAGGCCCCACGTTGTGGCCACAATGCTGGGCTGGAGTTACACCCCGCACACCATTAACGCAGCTCTTTAATTAGCAATACTTGAAGGGGGGGGGGGGCATCTATAAACGCACCACTTTTTGCATCAAGCCAACAACATGCACTGAACAAACAAGCCGGGGAGCAGCAGCCTCGGCTTCTTCACGGCAAATCTGCTGCAAACACACAACTTGCAGCTTAAACCAGCGTTTGTTTTAGAAACCCTGATTTAAAAAAAAAAGGGGGGGGGGGCGAGAATAAATTTCCAGGCGTTTTCACCGCATTTCAATGTGTCTGTTTGTGTGTGTGTGTGTGTGTGTGTGTGAGAGAGAGAGAAAGAGACAGAGAGAGCGGAGCGATGCTTTTTTTTATCAGACATGCATGTCAATAACAGAAGAACAGCGCCCAAAGCCGCTATAAGGCCACTTCACAAAGTAAAAGACAAGGCAGGGGAGATGTGGAGAAAGCCAGAGAGACACACACACACAGCGTTATCTCGCCACAGTGGCACAGACACACAAGAGGCTTAGCGAACCCCAAACAACCGTGAAGCCTCAACATCTCGCACAAAAACGCGAAGGAAGTGAAGCTGCAAGACTCCCTCAACACTCAACATTTCTGCAAGAAGGAGAAGAAGAAGAAAAACGTGCTTAGACAAACCTGCTGAAGCGAGGACACTTCTTCCACTAAAGCGCTGATGTCCGGAGTTTGTGTGTGAGTGTGAGTGTGTGTGTGTGTATGTGTGTGTTGTGAGTGAGAGTGTGTCACTCTGTGGTGTTTTCTCTCTCCCTCCCTCCCTCTCTCTCTCTCTCCCTCTCTCTCCTCTGCCGTAGAGATAGCGCTGATGTTTCCACTTCCTCTTTTCTTCTGCCGTCTGCTGGCTGGCTTGGTGATGCCAGACGGAGAGTGTATATGTATGTATTTGTGTGTGTGTGTGTGTGTGTGTGTGTGTGTGTGTGTGTGTGTGTGTGTGTGTGTGTGTGTGTGTGTGGATGCCTGCGAGCAGAGCTGCACTGAGTCACCGGTTAATGAGGGGACTGTGACATTAAAAGTCAGGAGGCTACTTTTATCATGGCCTGTCTGACGTTTAGTGTCTCGTTTCTCACTGTAAATTCAATTTTAAAATTAAAATCACTTTTACTGTCCTGATAGTTTAATTTAAGGATGACAAGAGAATTTGACTTAGGTGAATATGTGTGTTTATATTTCATGAGCTGTTAGTGATAAGTGAAGTTGACATTTTTGTCAAGTTGACGAAATTTACAATTCAAAATGTCCTGCAATCAGAACCGGGTTAGAGTGAGTCGCCCTGCCCCCTGATGTCCAGCACAGACTCATGTTGGTTGATTAGCTCTTAACATATGAGAATAGGTTGGTTCCTATGTCTGCATTTCCTAAAGTTTTTAGAAGTCTTTCAAAAACACTTAAATCATTCTGTTACATATGTACTTCATTAATATATAGTATAGTATATATAAGTATAGTATATATAAGGTTAAATATGTGGTGACTGAGCAAACAAACTAAATTAGCACAAAATACCTCAATTTTGATTCAAACAAACAAACAAACAAAAAACTGTTATTTCACCAAATACAGATTCTTTAATGCAGTTTGGACTTTTTGCATACAAAGAAAACATGTATTGCTGAGTTTAAAAAATAGATGGTAATATTAAAATGGTACAAGTGAGTCCTGAGCCCCCCAAGTGGATCGTAGCCTTTTCTACACTGTCTCAGCAAATGCAAATAAGTAAATAAAGGGGATTTCCACTAAATTATATCTGAACAAACAAACTGAGGATGACACACGTCTTTTCTCTCCATGATGGCACAAAAGCGCCGCTGCCTCCAATCTTGCAGGAGGGGAAGGCAAACAGGAACAAAGATTTCAATAATTCATGGTTATTGAACTCTCTGCAACTCCACACACACACACACACACACACACACACACACGCAACTGTCTGGAGGGTGCGATTATGACCCTTCTTATGTTGCATTATGTTGGGAACCATTTTGACATAGCTCAGCAGTGGCCCAACACAACACAATGCTATACAGTGGTTTCATTAGATTTCATTGATACAGGACAGACTGTAGGACTGAATCACAGACGACAGCAGCTCTGAGCCACATGAGGCCACTTCCCTTTAATTTTGTCAGTGATTACAAACTGATTCTCATATTAAAGCCAGGGTGTGTGTTTGTGAGTGGAAGACAGAGAGAAAATAGTGTACAGCAGACAGTCCTGCAGCTCATCCTTGTCTCCACTCAGCAGGAGCAGCAGGAGGAGGATTAATACAGGAGCCCTGTCTGTCCTGATAAATAATCTGAAGCGACACATCCAGCAGAAATCTCTCTCTCTCTCTCTCTCTCTCTCTCTGTCTGTGAAAAACACAGGATACAGAACTCCGCCTATTTAAATGACAATTTGTGTTCTCAGCTAAATTGTTAATTTGACTGCATGGACTGGCTGTGAAGGTAGGCAGAAAAAACCCCCCCAAAATATCAGAAAAACAAACTGAATATTCTACTCAGTCTGACAATTTAGTGAAGCAGGACATAAGTGTTTTCAGGAGGCTTGGGTACAAGATGACATTTTGAAATGCACAGACTTGGGTCAAATACTAATGTCAAATCATTCTTTGTTTGTTTGTTTGTGGTTTAAACATCAGCTATTCAAATGGTTTATAATAAATTCCAGACACCTCTTTAGTGTTTACTCTTGATTTATAATTTCTTTTCTTTTTTGTTATCAGAGAAGACCTGAAAATAAGCAAAACAATTAATTTATTCCTCAGTTCAATTGTTGTCATTGAGTTATGGTAACTTTCGCATCCGTGACTTCAGCTTCATTGAGATGGAGACGTCAGAGCGCTCGCAGAGGATGTAATCCTTTTATGCGAGACAGCAAAGAGACAGTGCAGTGGTTTTAAGCCAGTCCATGTGGTTTAAAAGAACTGCATGATGCTGTCAGTAAAGTGCAGACTCACAATGCACCTCTGCATCCAATAAAATAAAATGCAGTCACACTTGTTTCTTGTTTTCCATCTTGCAAGGTAAGACTTGAATAAGTTTCTTTTGTATACGTACTTCAGTTGGTACTTTTACCTGCGTGTGTAACCTGCTCAAAGCTGGACACATCCTGTTTCACAACTACTGGCCGAACCTCTACCCGATGATCTCACATACCCAAAGCAAAAAGAGAGAAGCCTTGTTACTGCTTCTTTCTCATCTGGCAAACATGATTATTATTCATGAGTTAAGTGCAGAGCTCCGGTCGTAACAATTTAATTATCTCCTTTTTCAGCAAATATGTTAGGCCTCTAATACAACCAGCACAATCAGTCTGGCCCGGCACTCAATCTGACCTGTCCCTTGTCCAAGAAGACAGAGTGCTTCAATAAAGACTCCGCTGAACAAATTCTCTCTACGTGGCACAACCTCCCTCTGAGCTGCTTCTGTGACTGAATCTCATCTGGGAGATTCATTGTTCTACTCACAGAGAGAGAGAAAAAGTCAACGTGGAACAGACTGTTTCAATGAAGCTGATTTAGCTTTGGTTATTGGTCCAAGCAGCAGAGAAAGGCTGGACAGAAAGGAAAGAGAGGAGAGAGGGAAGAGAGAAGAAACAAAATGATGCTCTCACTCAGAACTATAATGCTTTCATGGCCTTATAATCTGTCAGTCTTTGTTGCGATTGTAGTTTCTCACACAAATACATACACTCCCCACAGCTTTTGAGCTTCTCAGAAAGCCCAAGACACAAATCTAAATGGATATCTAGTCTGCTTGTTCCCTGTAGGTCTACTGTAATTGTCTCTCTATCAGGGTCATTAGGAAGAGGGAATGTTTCTAGTTCATTTCCACAGGGATTCCTTCTCAAAATGTTCTGCTTACGAAGGAAAGAGGCGCCAGACTTCCTCAAATGCGACCCAAAGGGCAGGTGTTGTGTTGTGTGAAGTAGCTACCATGCCTCTGCTAGCTTTTTATGTAAGGCAGTTCTGCGGTTGGACTTTTGATTGAGTTGTTGATGGTAGCTCAGCTCAGCGAGGGAGGATCGCTCTGCATTGTGAACGTTACAGACTGTGAAATGACTTTTGAGAAACACTCTCTGAAGTATCCTCAGACTGTGAGTGGGCCAAGATCAAAGGAAAGATGTTATTCGGCACTTAGGGAGGTCACCGCAGTTCTGTGCCGTGCACTTTATAATGATCAGACTTCATTGTGAGGAGGTTTGCTGTACTGTCCTCTAAAGATCAAGTTGTTATCGACATGAAAAATAGTGTCATACCCATTAAATCAAGGCCAAAATGATAAAGTGTTGTTTTTGCAGCCCGAAGTTGGGTAAACATTGAAGAAAAAGAGCCATCTTTATTCACAGAATATGGGAACACATTAACATACATTCTTTCCCCATCTATGCGGCTTTTTGAGAAAAAAAAAAAAAGAAGCAAATAAGCATTTTCCAACCTCAAATCATTCCAAATATTTATGTATAGTCACAAGCGTTTTGGCTTCTGTGGAAAACAAATTCTAACTGCACTCCAATGTTTAATTTAGACTTTTTTTTTTCCACCTCTCTGCGTTTAACACACTCTACAATCAAAGTATTTAATACCAGCGAGATGGCAGGGATAAAAAAAAAAATATGGTGGAAAATACAATCTCTTAATGACACACTATTTGCTGACATGCTATCTTATTAGACTCCATAAAAGAACATTATCTCTTACACCAATGGGCTCAATTCATATCCCCTCAGATTCATTACCCACGCAGCTAATGCTGTTTGACACACATATGCACCAAGGCACACGTACGCACACTTAACTTAAGCAGCTATTCCATATGACTCTGTGCTGTATGATCTAGCAGAGAGGATGTAAACGCAAGTTGTCACCCTGCAGCAAATAAGACGGCTGGGAGAAGTCATGCGCAGTGGATGTACAGTCTTAAGAGTTTCACCCTGCAGAGAGAAGGCTTAAGGAGATCTCCAGAGTGCAGTTCATACTGGTTCATTCTGCAGAACACATTTCACTACTGTGTAAGATCTACCTTTGCTGCTACTTCATTCACAGTCTCTTCCTACGTTCAAAGCACGTAATTTATGAGTACATACATTGGCATGTTCCAAACACTCAATTTGAATCTGAGTGGGCACTGGTTTTGGACGACTTGTGCTTTCGCTTCCTCTTTCTCTTCTTCTTATCTTTCTTCTTTTTGTCCTTCCTCTTTTTCCGCTTCTTGCTACGATGGTGGTCAGAGGAGGAGGAGGAAGAAGAAGAGGAGGAGCTGTCGGTGTCAGAGGAGGAAGAGGAGGAGGAGGTGGTGTCCTGGAGCAGCTGCTGCAGCTGCTGGATCCTAGAAACAGGAAGGGCAGGGAGGAGAGGAAGGAAGGATTAGAGTGCAGGGGGAAAACACAACTGATGCAGACTTGGATGTGTGGGTTGGCAAGCATTTGAAGTGTCCTTGAATAAGTCACTGTCTTTGTCCCAGTACCAACGTTTTCCAGACTGTGGAGTTCGCCACATGTCTACTTGTGTTACATATTTCCAATAATTGCCAATAGTACCTGTGAAAGCTGCAGGTGTGCGGCTAGGACATGCCTGGATAATGAGGTCACCCTGTCACTTAAATATAAGGCTCAAGCTCAGATTGCCTTTTAAAACTTTTGTACTAACAAGAACTATCAAAGTAGGAACAACCACTGCTGCTTTTCTTTCACTTTCACCAAAGGAGATATACAGTGATTTCACAGTCATTAAATCAGATTAACATCATCATTGATCAGTGGTGCAAACACAACTGAACCTTCACATTCTGTGTTGTGTTGACCGGCCAGGGGACAAGTCAGAAGTAAAAGGTAGTTACTAAAACATCTGGTGAACAGCAGAAGAAGCTGCTCACTAACTAGGTCAGATGAATATATCTACTTGTCACAACCAAATATGGTTCAGGAGGGAAGATTACAACATCAACTCATCACAGAATTAGGGAAAATGCACCACACAGCTCAAAGAAAAATAAAGCATTTGTCAAAAAGGAAGTGGAGAAAAAAAACAGACTCAGCCATGAAAGTATTATCTCTTGAGAAAAAGGCCGACATGCTCTTGTTAAATGTCCATCAGGCCTCGTTACGGTGGGTAAGATCACATGGAGCAGAATGACCATCTGATGCCACACTACTCCTTAGGGCACACCTCTAGTCCTCAAAGTGAAGTCCATCATGAAAGCACTCAGTGACCTACAGCTTGATCTCTAAAGAAAACTCTCTTCTGTCAGCTCCAACGCTTCTGTCTCCTCAAATGCACTATTTAAAGAAAAGGTTAAATTCCTGTACACTGGTGGTTCTGTCATGTACCTTCATCCGGCATCAAATTCACAATGGCAAAAAGCACATCTTTATATAAAAGCCACATACTGTAACAACTAATCAAATGGAATGAGGCAATGAGGATGTAATGAGACAACCAATATATGTCAAAATTTGTTGAATAAAAATGAAAATAATAGAAACTGAAAGACAAAAATATAGAAAAGATTAGATGACCATTGCAAAATGAGCCATTCTGGGGATGCAGGTCAGAAAATAACCAGCCATTAGATGTATTTATTACTCAGCACTTTGTGATAGGAGGCTAGGATCTCAAGCACAACTTGAGACAATACTGTCCTTGAAATTGGAAATGGCAATTGGTGGATATGTTTCACTTCCCTTTCAAAGATGATGCCACCATTAATGTAGCACAGACACAACAGAGGCTTCAAAGACTGAGACTTCAAAACTGGCCTTTGAATAACCTTTTTGTAGTGCATTCAAAAACACACACAATGCACCACACACACACACACACACATACACACACACACACACACACAGCAGTGAGACTTCAATGGGAACAAACCTCAAATTCAAACATCCTGGTGTCAAACATTATTTGCAAGGAACTGGCGCAGAGAACCAGCCACCATGAGAGAATTTCTAGGTCATCTGAGATTGTCCCACTCCTCTGAGGGAAAACAGTCAAAAACTGCAAAAACTATGATCTCATTGTCTGACTGCAGCCTCAAAAGTGGCTTTTGTGTGTTAGTTTGCACTATTTTAGTTTATACATATATATATATATGAAATCTGACTCTTATTCAGGTAAATAACAGAAAAGGGACATAAACACTTGAGAAGCTTAAACGAGTCAAGAAAAAAAAAGAATGTATGTACCTGGTTTCTTTTTCATTCCTTTTGTTTTCCCGTATTATGTCATACATTGGGTCTTCATGAGCCTAAAAGAATAAAACACAATTTGTCATTCACCTACCATGAGAAGGGAAAGAAAAATCAAATTGACTTACAATAAGAGATGCTGTTATTCATGTTAGATCCAGGAAATGATCCCAGCACATGTCAACCATTGTATTGTTTTAATGTCAGGTCAGCATTTTTAAAAACCTCCAAGTGACAATACAAGCTAGGAAAATATGAAACTGTTGCATTTATGGTAATCATTGCAGGGGCTGTGTGCTCCTGCAGTAGGAATTGTTCCACTATAGGCACACAATGGAAGAGGCTTTGTGAGTAAGTCTGCTGCCCACATGTTCCTCGGTGTAAACTAAACGGGCCCCAACCGTGTCGTTAACCTCCACCCAGGTCTCAGACACAGACTGTCAGTCGCACCTTGCCATGACCCAGCCTACACTGTTTTGACCATCATTTCAAATGTTCTCAAAATATATAAGGGTGGGGCATTTTTTGTGAAGAGCTAACAAACTCACCACTCTGAACTGCTCCAGTTTCTGGTTGCCTTTGATGAAGAAAGGACACTCCCTGTCTCCTGTCCTGTGACCGTAGCGCTTGCATCTCCAACCTGAAAAAAAACAAATAAGCAAACAAATATCAATGTGTCTACTGGGGGGGAAATGCCAGGTTCATGACTGCAGATTTACAATGAAACAGATTAAAAAATGCACATGAAAGTACATTCTTGACATTTTTAGCTCATTCTGGAGCTTTCAACAGAATCTCACAGCCTTCATTAGCAAACAGAGTACAATTAAGTTCAGTTGTCAAATACACGACCATACACAGACAGTATATACAAACATAAATAAATACAGTGTGAGCAAGGTTCTATACTAGCTGACAAGTGAAAGATCTAGAAACAGAAAGTAAGTGAACCTGGAGATAATATTATTTTGTCAAAGTAGGCAATATATTTTTTAGAGGTTTTATTTACTGTAGTTTCTTTCTAATCTCCACAAAAACACATTCATTTGAGCAAAGAAACAAGTTTTCCTTTCCTTTGTGTGATTTAATAATACCAACATAAGCAACTTGGAGTCACACACTCAAAGGTCCTGCTCATGTCGGGATGTGTTGGAAAACTTACGGCTCATTATCAAAGACAGAGCATCTCAAAATCATAGTCACTCGTTCCTCACTGAGAAGAAGTTTCAAAGAGTTTTAATATTCTACACTTTAAGTGGCAGTGTAGCTACCATGAATAACTTGGGAGTTTTTGTAAACCGAGACCACACAAATTCTGTTTATACTGTAAAAGCCGTGCGCAAAATTGTTTACTCAGTTCTTTTATGCTCATATCATTCACAATGAAGTCTCTCCGTTCCTCTAAACAGGATGCCATATTCAAACATTTTCTCAAAGGATTAGGCTGAGCGAGTCATGCTCAGATTCTGCAGAACAAATGCCAACTTGTGGACAGGCCCAGAGTGTGTGCGTCTGCGTGTGTGTGTGTGTGCTGACTCCTGAAGTCCCTTGCTGTTCACACAGCATGAAAATGAGTGGGACAAAGGAATGAATGGACACTGAACATAAAGACAGTCTTTGTCTGGACATCAGGAGAGAAGGTAATCTCCTCAACACCATTATTAATCTTTAGTCTGTTATGTTCATCAGAAAAACATGATGTTCGCGATGTTAAATGTCAAGCTCTTGCAGTTATATTTATCATCTACGAAGACCGCTGCCCACTCATGATGGAGGTTTACTCCCACCTGCAGCTCTTGAGCCATTAGTGCTACTGTTACTTCTACAACTAATATAAACTTGATTTGTACACAGGGTACACAGTTTCAGCAACAATGTCTAGAGTTCTAGTATTGAATTAAAGGTGTAGAACAGTTAGCCGTATACAAAATCATTCAAAGCCTTGAGTCCACATAATTGCCATCAATTTAAGACGTTTCCATGACTTGCAGACACCATGTGTGCGGTACAGTATTAAAAACAAGCACATACATGGTTTACAGGAAAAAAATAAAGTAAAATTGAGTGAATTCAGAGCGAACAAAAACACTGTCAAAAGGAATTTAAAGATTAAAAAAATAAATAAATAGTACCAAAAGATTAAAGACAAATGTGAGAATGCACTGAAGTGATGTCTTGACTACAGTGGTGCACTTGTCTCTTATGACCCCTGCTCTTACAGCAAGTAGCTGTATCATGACAAATATCCTTGTATTTTACAAAAGTGTTTCATTAAAGATGAGCTTCACCCCTGACATCAACTCTGCACGTCTACAACTGTGTGAGATGTACCAGATGTTTGTGAAAAATCCAGTTAAGTACTGAATCTTTGGGAGGAGCATGTTTCGCCCTTTCAGTGCAAACCCAGGCATACACTGCTGAAATAGTGTAGCTGTACTCACACTGCATCACCTTCACTTCTTTCCCCAGAGGCATCCACAGCCCCTTAGTGGGGGCATGTGCCAGGAAGCTCCGGGCTTCTTCATTTCCTGGTTCAGCAGGAATACAGTCCTCTGGTTTTTCCTCATTCTCCTGCAACAGCAACTGTCACTGTCACCACTTTTGGACATGCAGATAAAGAGCCGTATGTATTAACACCAAGTCCAACACAATCTGTTTGTATAATTGTCTCCACATTCACCAGATGTCTTTCGTGTTTGTGTCAATATTACCTTTATGAGTCCTGGTGGAGGTTTCTCATAGCTGCAAGAAGGAAAGATGGCTGTTATACAAAAATGAATTCCCATGTTACTACAGAAGAAATATCTTATCTGACCACCCCATAATTTATCAAGCACAGATAAAGCACATGTAACATTTGCATCGAAGTGAGGCACCTCAACTTACAACGAAAATAGCGGTAGATTAAGTCCCATTTATAATTCATGCACAAGTTTGCAATCTTAAACAGAGAAGCTCTCATTAATATCACTCACAACGTCTCGACGTGTTTCAGTTTTTGGACTTCTTGGTTGAGTTTTTTCGATTGTGTCTTGAGTTTCTCCAAATCATGTTTTGATGTCTTGTGCCTCTTGTGGTCTCGTCTGTCCTCTTTCTCTCTTGTACGCTTTCTATCCGACATTGTCCTGTTATCGAGGAACCGTGGCCCCGAAAAACCATTAATTTATAAATAATGCAGCATTCGGGGATAATATTTTCACTGTTCAGAGAGGAACCCCGGCTAACGTGCTAACCAACTGCTAACTAGCAAACATTGCTGTGGAGCTGCTGCCTGTACTTCCTGTGCAGCCGGGTTGGTTAGTTAAAGTCCAGCGCCACCTGCAGGACACGGTCAGTTACTGGCCTGGATACTAGTTTTTGATTATATAAATTAGTTCTATTTTTATTTGACTATATAGGAAGGCTATATTTTATTCTCTATATACATTAAGCATCTTTGACATAAAACATTTATTTCTGATAACTGATGTATCTTACAACATCTTAAACCCAGTTTTAAGCTTCCCTTAAAACATAAAATTAAGCTTAAAACTTAATGCCGAAAAAAAAAAAAAAATATTCAGCTGGATTCATGATAATAATGATAATTTATATCCATAACTGCTTAGATATGGATATGAAATTTGCAGTACTGAGGTTGCAATATAAGAAATTTTTACAGCACTTATTTCAAACGTTCACAGGAAGTAGGGATAAACAGCACAGTTTCACAGACTGAAAAGGTTTTTATTTCAGAGAATCAAGATGTAGGCGGAATACAAATGTGAGGTATTTCAGGATTTAAACACATACTGTACATTGAACAGCTAATGGACAACAGGTAGGTAGTCAGGCAGTACAAAATTCAGTAGACATATTTAAATTCCTGCTCTTAACATAAAGATGAAAAGAGTAACCATTCACAAACAAGAATACCCAAAGAAAATATATATAAGAAAGTCTTGACAATAGGTATTGTCAGTAAGTCTTTGTGTACAGGTTCTAGGCAAATGTGCCTATTCAATGTAAACAACAACTGATGAGTCCCATTTTAGATAATAATCACAAATATCTTCATTGGTGACTTGCACACTCTCAAAATCATTTGTATGCAATTAAAAAAATGTTAAATAGTGTATCAAATCTGTCATGGTTCGCCAGAGCCATCACAAATACACAGACACATCTGGAGAGGGCCAAAAAATAAAGTGAGTAAATAAATTCAAATACAAAAGTTTCAACATCAAGTAGTATGAATACCAAATAGTTTCATATTCATCATATAAATGTATAATTGTAACTTTAGAATAAAAAAAAATCAAAAATGAAAGGATATTGGCATGTAAACCAGCTCATCATGCCACAAACACCATCACAGAACAAAGATGGCTTTCCTGTGATGTTTCAGCCATTTGATAACTAGCGAATAATTCCTCAAACATTCCACTCACAGTAATATCCCCAATTTAGGAGATTATAAGAGGCATGTGCTAAATTAGACAAAAGAAGCATTCTCCTCTGACAGGCTCAGCAGAGGATGCAATAACCCTGATTAATAGGTGAAATAACCAGCCTAATTTCTGCACTTCAGGATTTCAGGAGTGCCATTCCAAACAGCCCAGCAATAGTTGTGCTGGTAGCCAAACTGTAACCATTCCCACAAGGGCTTGGAAACCAAATTACTGTCTTTAGTTCCCCCTTAGCCTCGGGTGTAAACAGGTTACAACACGGTCAAAACCCTTGTTTTTATATAAGAATATAAAAAACACTCAAAGTGAGGAAAGAAAATCTTTCAAGCCCCCCTTTTTGCTGCCCGGGTTGTCTTCTCGCATGAGAATCTTGCTGAGACGCTGGACGACCCAATTTTTTGGTTTAGATGGAGGCTTGGAGGAAGATGAGCCTGACCCTGAAGTGTTAGAGGACATAGAGGACCTGCAGGGAGAGAAAGCGAGATTTGGTGAGGGAGGAAAAGGAGATATAAAGAGGGTGAGAAAGGAAGAATTAAGATACAGTAACTTGAGATTTTGTTGGTTGGCAGGAAATGTTAAAAGTGTACTGTCAACAAGTATATGATCTAGCAAGAATGAATACCAACACGTACCAATCATACAGCTAACTGCAGCTTAATGCTGAATAAATAGAAACTTAATCATTCAAATGCTAACATGCCTGACGCATCATCCTCTCGGATGTCTGTGACACCTCCCGAGTTCAGTCGAGGAAGGTTAGAGCTCAGGAGATATTAATACCAGCAATCTTACCTTGGTGTATGAACAGGTGTCTTGTCTTTGCCAGGAGTCTTGGGGGTAGTCGAGTTGGATCTGCTGGTTAATTGTGGAGTCTTGTGTTTGCCAGCGCTCCCTGGGGTGCTGTGGGTCTTAGCGAGGGTAGCTATAAAGTCCCTATTCATTCCTTTGTGTCTGGATGTCTTATTGCAAGTGTGGCAGGTGGCCATCTGGAAAAAGGAGAGGAAAGGAGCATATGCATTAATATTGCATGCCCTGCATCTATATTCCTCTGATACATAATTAGGTTTTGACGTGAAGGCATACACAGTATCCCAACTAGAGATACTTTGCAAAAAATCTTGCAGGATTTCTAAAAGGTGATTGAAACTACTCTAATGTAAATCTAAGATCTATGTTCTTTTGTAATTCTAGCTATTATTTTTTTTAAATCAAACCCAGTATTGCCACCGCTGTCTGACTTTCTCTGGGTCACACAAGAGTTTGTTATGAATTAGTCTGGACAGTGACTGCAGCAACAGATTGACTGCAGGGACACAGCGAGCAGGACAAGCTGTGGTTGTGGCAGTCAAGGGGGCTGTAATGAGCACTGCTCCTATGCCCTGGGTGACGCAGGCCAGCCCAAAGCCTCACAGATGTCAAGCACATGTATTGCATCTCACAGCTGAGGAATAGTTCACAATGGTGTCCAGGAAGCAATTTCACGACCGGGACATGATTCACTTAACAGCTGAGACTCTTCCCATCGGCACTGCCAAACATCCCCATGATTATTTTACCTTTGAATGTTTGTACGGTTATGAAAATAACTGGATTAGTTAAAGCAGGATGGGAAACTGTGCCTTTAGCCTATGAGAGGGCGAGGAGGGGCTGTTGCCATGCAGGTTCACCTATTCAGGGTATGGATGCTATAAGAGTCGCCAGGCAGCTCTACCCTATGAACCATGTTTAAATACAATTACTTTGACACTTCAGCTGAGTTTACTGCACCTCACTCCACATGAGCAAATTCAAAGCAATTTTCTGACACAGATTACACATGCTCATGCAAACAAACAATTATGAGACTCTATATAAGGCAAAGCATGCAGACACTTGTGAGAGTTATGAGGCACAACTGTCAGTTCATGAGATTCTCGTGATTGAAGGCAACAATTGGCATCCCAGACGTCTACCTCCAACTGTCTTGTGTCCTAATAAAAAGGTATAGTGGCTGTAACTAGACTATGACTGGGACAAACTACAGTAAACGTCTGTCACGTAGGTTGATTGATGACTGCTGATTCCATAGGAACTAAATAAAGCACAAATCCACAGACACCAAGCTCCATTCCCAAACAGATAATTAAAACCTGCTCTGGTAATCGTCACACTCACTCTTTTACATTTACAACATCTGGCAGATGCTCTTATTCAATTGTTGTCCAGTATTCACACGCAAGACACCATCAAACACATTATCCCAGTGATGAGCTGACACTAAGCACAAAACTAATTACCAGGTTTTTTGTAGTCATTTTTTTTTTTTTTTACTCCAGTAAAGAATTAAGCTCTTTAACAAACAGCCTGTTACACTTTTCTCCCTTAAGAAAACTTTCTTCCTTCCTTCCTTTTCCCATAGAAAATGCAGTACAAACTCTTAAGTGCTATTTAGCGTCGATTAGGAACTCTTCAACACTCCTCCAAACCATCAGTCACTTAAGTCCCATCAGTTGCACAAGCCATCCAGAGTTGCACAAGGTTAAAACTGGTCTAAACAGACCACCACTGCAGAGGTCAGCAGGTCTGAGCCAAGCTGCTGACAGTCCTGAATGCTGATGAGATGGAAAACTCACCGACACGAACGTAGCCATTTCAGATTCTGACAGGTGTCTGTTGGAGAGTTGGGTTTCGATGCACCAGGAGGACTGAGTTCCTCTTTCTTTCTATGTGACAGTATGTGAAGTGTTTACCACATGAGCCCGCCCGTCCAGCTTTATACAGACCAAGCCCAGCAACCGACCCACCTATCTTTGAGTAGGGGTGTGGCTCAAAGGAGGACTGACCAATGCAGAGAGAAAAAGGGTCAACTCATCTGTGAGACAGCCAGCACTCTGCTGCTACTTTTCAACAGTGACTCATCCGGACACATCCTTGTTTGCAAATAAAAATCAACAGGACAAAAAAAAAAAAAATAAAAAATTCTGAACTTCATCTAAGCAAATCCAAACAAAGAAAGGTATGGCTGAAAGTTGTGTTTGAAATCCTTTAAGATAAACATTTTATATATTTTTTCCATTTAATTCTTTTCCTTGTAGAATATATCATGGCCTTGTTTCTGTAGGGTAAATGAAATTATAAATCATTTCTATTTATGTCTATGGACACAAAATTCAAGCCCATAAATGACAATATTGAATTATTGAGGAGTTCAGTGCAGGCCGCATATGAAACACTGACTGAAATGCTGTGAGAAAACACTTCGCAAACCATTGTGATCATCATGTTTGCTGGTGGTAGTTTTGACTTGTGTTATATGAAATAATTTCCTTATATTGTAAAGGTAAAAATGAATATAACTCATGTAAGTCTGCAGATTTAATTTTCAACATATATAAGAGAACCTCCAGAGCTGGATACCCAATACATTTCAGCAAAACTGTTGTATTGATCATTAAAAAGCTGTTTTTGCTCAATCATGACCGAATTCACACAGCGAGGTTATTCTGCAGTCTAAACAGTAAACCATCTATTCTATGGATGAGGTAAGCATTTTAGGTTTTGTGTCCTGTATGGCTCCTGACTTACTGTGATCACGGAAGTGGTATAAAACTAACTTCTGTCGAACTTCTAAACAGGCAAGCTTCTATTTCAGCAGATGGAGCTTCATCCTAAAAAAAGAACACTCAATAGTAAAAGCCTTTTCATCAAACTCATTATCTCTTCTGAACTTGAAATAACTGGCACTCCTCTAATCTCAGCAAAGCTCTAACCTATTATGATCACAACTGCTGTATAAAAAGAAATAACAAGTCAAAAAGCTGGAAGCAAGTGTATTTAACATATTAAGGTAAAAGTTGGCTGGAGACGATAAAGATGTTCAAGCTTATTATTCAGGAACACACAGTGTGCAGGCTTTTCTTTGTGTCTTCAGCCAAGAAAAATGCATTAATATTACAAAGACATGGCAAAGGATGTTACACTGGCACCACTTTCTGATCATAAAGAGGTATTTCAGAGAAACAGAGGTGATCTATAATGGATAGAGTGGCACTCCACTGGAGGATGTGGGTTCACGTGAAGGATGAAATATCTATCCTACTGACGTGTCCTCAAGCCCAACACTGAATTCATAATGTGTCCGCCACTCTCCACTATAACTAACATTAACACTACTTTATGTTTAAAACTGTTATTTTAACTATAATATATATTATTTGTAAGTCACAAACAACTGGGGAAAACTCTGTTTGGTTTTCTTGCATTTAGAAAAATGTATACTTGGAAAACTGAGTCTGTGTTTGCATCAACATGAAGGATTTCTACAACACTTCTTGCTCGCAACTGCAAGGTCAGATGACAGTAACATATTTTTGACATCATTAAAGCTGTCTTAAAATAGATGGAAATGTAAAGAAAATAAAAAAAATGTAATGCTTTGGAAAATGTATTTGTTGATAAAAGGCTAAAATGCATTACTATTCATCCATTAAGATTTTAAAATTTGAACCCAGGGTTTTTGTTTTTAGAGAAACTCTTGCAAACATTTTTTTTTTTTTCATAGCAAAGTCAGTGACAGACTGAAAGTGGAATGTGGAAGTACTATATTCAAATTCACACATCTATAACTTATGTCATGTGTCTAGTCTTTTTAAAAAGTGAGAAGGAACACTCTTTTTTTTTTTTTTTTTTTCATTTAATGATGCAGAGCCTGTGACATATTGAACATTTTGTACACTGCATCATTCCTGTTTATGTCTACATCTATCCGCCTCGATAAGTGTAGTGATGAATAGTGTTGATCCATTTCACACTGCACTTGCTTTATTGTTATTTAGAACCTTTCCATCCACACCTCCTGTCATTTCCTACTACAACTACCCAATTTCCTCCTGTGGATCATTAAAGGTTCATCTAATCAAACCTAAACAGGATGCTGGTGCCAAATCCTCAAACAAAAACTATTTGTTCCCAAGTTATAAACGGTGCTATCATCTCAGTTGTAACACATATTGTAAGTGATCAGGTCTGTGGACTTTTAGGTGACAGCCTAGATTTTACTAATTTGAACTGAGGCGACTGTCCAATAATTGCCAAGGAGAGAAAAAAAAACACCTTAGCAAAACAAGAGGTTGGGTTCATGGTGAAGTGGATCAAACACAGACAGACAGACAGCTGGCTGCAGATGGATGTTTACAGACAGAATGACCTCATGCTGTTTATCCTTTTGTCCTGGTCCCACTATCATCAGCTGGCCTGAGCTGAGGCGCTGATATGACAGGCTCTAAGAAAGGAAACCTTTACCCAGTGAAGGTGCATGTTTGTGCATGTGCACAGAAAAGCATAGTGGAGAGACTAATCGGACCAAGTTCGACAATACGAAAGAGTCGACAAAGTGACTCTGTCCATTCCGAAACAACATGTATGGTATAGCTGCTGCATAGTGATGAGAGATCATGGGAACCTGAAATGAAAATCCCACCCATCACGTGTGCCCATTTAATTTACGCTAATCCTTTGACATGTAGTGTATGCACTTGGAGGGGCACACGTGAGCTGGTGCCACAGAGAGATTTCATTTCCTCATCTTGGGCTGCTCATCCTGGCAGCAGACAGACCTACACAGCGGTCAGTCAAACATATGGCAGCGGCGACATGTTGGAGCTTCAGCGTATGAAGAGAATAAACAACCACCTATACACAGCTGGGGGAATATTAAGGACAATAGGTTTTTGCAGAAACTCGAATTTCTGTTTGGAAAATCTAAGTTCACCATACGCTCAGAGGAAAAAAACACCACTTGTGATTCCAATATTTAACTGAAATCCACTGTACAAGAAACATAGCGAATAGCAATCTAGCACTGCCTCTGACCTGTGAATATATTCTCTCACCTGGTCAGCCTTGACCTTTCACCCTACTCCCGTCTAAACAATAAGAGAAGCCTGGTTTCTGTCTTACAACATTTTCATGCTTGTGTTTGTGTTCAATGGGAAATGTGAACCCACAC